CTACTGACCAAGAGCAGTGAATTCGTAATGCATATAATAAACTGCATACAGGCGAGGACAAGGAACTAGCATCGAACAAATCAGCTAGCATACGGGGAGAACAGAGGAACTTGTAGAAAGAATGATAATTCTCCTACAAACATGAGCATAACCCCTAATGTCTATTGAACAAAAATCTCATACGAGCTATGTTAGATGACATGATAACTCAACGTGGCTACATAAACTAAATAATATATCTCCCGTATACAATATCTAAAACCTGATTTCCCTTCACATCACCAAATCTGTAACATTCGTACAATCGAACAAAAGGCATTTATAGGCTCTTAAATAGAAATATGTACATCTTTTAAAAGAACATCATCTGCATCATCAACAATATTCGAATATTATAAAAATATCCCCTCATGCATTGAAGTATACATTAAAAAATTTATAATATATATACGTCTGTAATATACATGCCACATCATGCAAACAAATCATTCAAAAAAATAAAATATATCGCACTGTAATAGCGTGTTACACTAACATGCAATTAGACTATGTATTTATAGATTGCAGTATACAAAATGCATTATGCAAGCATATTATCCAACATACAAAATGCATTGTGTAGCGACAGGGAGTTATGTCGACATGCTAACACTTTATGCACTACATGAAAGTACTAAATCATCATACAAATGAATTATGTAAACAAATAGGCAATACATAAATACATTATACATAGATTAATATGTAAATATATCATACACTATGTTAATACATTAAGCCACTATGCAACATATTAACACATCATCCATGCATTTAAAGCATATACCCGTATGGCCCCCGACAAGCATGATATATATATACATATGTAACATCTTAAGATGTTACTTGGGTAAAAAATGGACCTGAGTTCAAGACTGATCCTCCCCTTTGAACGGACAAGAGTTGACACCTACTTGAACTACTGAATAAATATACGGGTGTAGTACCGACTGGAGTATTTGATTTTATAAGTTCATATTAGACCTTCAATGTCTATTACAAGAAAGTTTCATTACTAAAAGCATAAAATTTTTTATTCTCAATATCCATATGATAACTAACAACATTAGTAATTGACATGATCCTTTGTTTGCAAGAAAACAGAGTCGACATGGTCCAATTAATGAAATGAACATATCAATAACTCCTTGATAATGGCCGTGTTGATAGAAAATCTCAATCGAAGAGGACCCCAAACATTTAAAATGTATCCTAAACATTTATAAATACAAGCATCTATTTTGACTTTAACATCACCCGGATGATGACCGTGTTGATAGTTAATCTTAACTAGAGGGGTTCATACTTTTTAAATACCCATAAATCTTAAAATCAATCATTAAGGGGCTTTAATTTAAATGAAAGTTCAAAACTCAAAAATCACTAAAACCTAAGATATGAAATAAATCATCTAAATACTTAAAGTAAAAAATTCATCCACCCTTCGTAATAACATGCTGAGGTAGGCAAGTTTGAAAATCACATCAGCTCACAAAGAGCGAATGTCTAGTCAAGAATATCAATGGGATTGATTCTCAAATCATCTCTTGCTAGTAGTGACGTGACACATATCCTTTAACCAATGGTTTCATCGTCAAATGACATCATAGGTAAATGGTTATGATAGGGCACCCTTTGACTTAGTGGTTTTATTGCTAAATTATACCATTAAATTATGGTCATAGTTAGAGCTGATATGTTCCTCTAACGACTCTAAATCATTGAGTAATGAATTGATATGATATGAACAATATGACACAAAGCCCTATGTTAACTAAGGTGAAATCAAATATCTCCCCTTAGGCAAATAATCACTCAAAGTTTATAATGTACCTTTGAATAACACAACCCATGGCTACTGATAAGGATCTTTTGGTCAGGTTGGGTCTCCTACCTTCTCCTACTTAAGTAAACTGTGAACCATGATGATCTGGGATGGCAGAACCATGAGATCTTGATATGTTTCATCATCATTCCCCCACCATCAGCTTTAAGTACACGGTGATAAATTTTATTTTCAAATATCAAATTCTACTACTACTATATGCTTGATATTATGTATCTATTTGACGACTAGCCTTAATCACAAGTTCTCTCATTATCGAGATGGATAATTATCTATAGGGGCTTGCGCCTATATGAAACATGAAGTCGTATCATAAAGTCCTCGCAAAATGGATAACTGTAAATAATGTATTATTTTATGTGTTATATGTTTAATAAAAATGTGTTGTTTTTGTTATGCTGTGCAGGAAAAATATAAAATGAGAATAAAATTTTAAGTATGATCTAGGGAAGCGACATCAGACGAATCCACACCACAACGGCATCAAGGACACTGTTGGAGCTTCATAATATTAACATGGCAACGCTGACTTTTCTTTTTGACAGTGTCACGGTGTCAAAATGGCCAGCTTGGCAGGTCATATTAATTTTCTTCAAGCGTCGTGTCGTCACAACTTATCACGCCTTGGAGACAAAATTACCATTCGGGTGCCGCAGCATTCGAAAGCCAGCAACGTCATGGCGTAGAAGTTATAATTTCCAAATGACATGATTTTCCAATGAAGCGATGTGATTGTTCACTAAGTAACTAATCTACATCAGTAGGCGTTGCGGTGGAGCGAAAACATCAGTACATCGACGTCTGTTCATTTTATGAGTGCTGCAACGCCAATCTTTCAAGCGCAGTAACGCCAGTTGCTTACTTTGTATTTTTCTATAAATATACATTGAGTTATGTTTGTAAGAGAGTTTAGTCACTTATATAATTTCAGTACTTTTCATAGTACTTCTTAGATCTATCTTACAATCAATTCTAAGGGAGCCTAGGGAAGTATTAGATACAATTATTGGAGTGTTATAATCATTATTTATTGGAGTAACTCTATACATTAAGGACGTAGTTGTGCATAGGAGAAATATTGATCCTTCATGGTGATATCATTCTCTTGTATTTTCTTTGTTCTATAGTTTCAATGAAAATGAGTTTACTTATATTTTCTTTCATGTGTGACTAATCCTTTAGTTTTGGATTGATGATGTAGAGAACATATTAAGTACTAATGAAGATTCTTGGGCTATAAAATTAAATGATGTTTTTAATACTATCCCGCTCTTTATTTAATGCAAATAGTGACCATATATATACTTAAAACTTAGTGTGATGTATAGCCTTGACGGAGGAATGCAAGAACAACCAAAAATATTAAAATAATATGTTTGCATACCTAGACATATGATATAAAATATGCTAGGTTCTAAAGGAGATAATATAACTGTAAGAGATCAACATATATCATTTTCAGGCTTATAAGCTTGACAGATATCTAGGGATACATATGCTCTAAATCACATTACAAATAAGAATTTCATTAGGAAAGATATGCAATTTACATTCATCAATTCAAAACACTTTATTTAAGTATTATATCTATTATTTTACTTTTTTTTTAGTGATTGAATCTTTACAACCAATATTTTTTTTAGTAGAATAATTTTGCAACTAAAGTAAACATTAGTAGTTGATTGCTAGAAGACATACTTCATTGTGAGTTCGACACTCTACTCTATTATTTTTTTATTAGATTCGGCACGTATATTTGTGTATATTAAGTGAGATTTGTTATTTTTATATATCAGATAAAACTTAAGCATTGTTTAGGGGAGATAAAGACTTAAACATTTTCATATATCAAAAGTGCACTTCACAACCCTCATAAAAAATGAGGGCGAGATATCTAGGTAATGTCTTATCTAAAACCCAATTTGTCTTCTGAAAGTTTACCTCAGAACATAAACGTTAAAACTCTCCTCGTCGACTTGAAAAAGAAAAGTCTCACGAAGAGGTTGGGGGGGTGAATTTTTGAAGCCACATCTGGGAAGTTAAGGCATCAACAATTTTGGTTTATTATAGAAGGCCATTAAGCATAAGAGCCAAAAACAAAGCTTAGCCTCTTTAAACCATATTAAGGGGTCAAAGGGAACCTGATTGTTATAGAGATAAAAGTATGCCAATCACTAGAGGAAAAAATGAGTTGAAAATTACCCTTATAAGATTTAATCAGTCTTATCATAATAATGAATGTTTTGTCCTTAAAATTATGACATATAAATTTAATTTAGTGAATATTTATTATTGTGTTTATAGTTGGCTCACACGTTATTGATTGTGCACCTTCACTCAATTAATTGTGCTATTGTATGATTGTTTATTTATTTACAATGCGTTGATCTACTATTCTAATGAGCATTTGTAGAGCTGAATTGTAAGAATTTTGAAAGTAATTGTTAATTTGAATTGCGAACCCGATTCATCCCATGGCGCACTAACTCATGATCGATAAAAAATTTAGGTACTCATGATAATTTTTATTATCATTAATATTTTAAAGTTAAAATCCTAATAAGTATGCCCCTAAGGCAATCATTTGATCATACATATTTCTATTTTGCATGACCATATCCATTTGAATTTGTTGATTGAAACTATAACATCTGATAAGGAATGCTTATTCCTCATATATTTTTAGTGTGAATAATAAATTTATTGTAAAATCTTTTAATTTTTTGTTGCAAAAAGAACTTTAGTTAGCCTAACTATAAGCAAAACATGATACTTGTTTTTATTATGCATTCATAATGAAAGATTACCTACTTATTGTAATTAGTTCTGATCTACTTATTAATATGTATGTACACCATCTAATGTTCACAAAAACAAAGGCTTCCTGTTCTTTTGCATTCGCAGCTATCCCTTAAAATCCAAGAAACAAGAATGGATAATCATTGGAAGGATTTGAAAAAAAAAAAAAAAACTTATACTGGATTACATTAGAACAAGAATGAACAAATCGCTGTTATTGCGTTTGATTTATTACCAAAGAAGGCCATAGCACTCGCTACCCTTTGGGAATGAAATCATAGTACAAAGAGAAAGTGGCTAACAGCTTATGCAAACATTTCATAGGTAATCAACATTAGGTGAACTATTGACATAACTCTCCTCCTTACAAACTTGTTGTACTTTCCATCAAATAAATATGCATGCAAGATAGCATCCGAGATTGAATCTTTAGTAACTTCTATGACGAGTAGAAAATTGCTGAAGAAATGAACCATGAACAAAAAATCAGCTCAGCAAAATACCCCTAGAGGATTCTGCAATCTCAGAAAGTGTTAGGAGATACAACTTTGAATTCCAATTAGTCTTTAAGAAACTGAGGAATGAATTCAGATTTTCCTATCTCCCCCCTTAGCCAGAGTAGATTATTTTTCTTGGAATACCAAATCCTGTATGACTTTTCCTTCTCAAGTTGGTCTTTCAAATCAAAATTTCAACTTCTTCAGCTTCACTGTCACTGTAATCAGCCCAGCATTTTACAGATTTTTCAACAATTGCCGACTCTGAAGATTCTACTTCCACGGTTGTACCTTCAGGAACTGTATCTTTAGCTTCTGCATTTATCTCAGGTTCAACTTTATCGCCCTCTTTACCTTCTCCAGCCTTCTCACTCTCTTTTATTGAAGTATGGCTACTATGATCGTTTCCTTCAGGCAAAGCTTCATTATTTTCAGAAACGTCAGCAGTAACAGTTGGTGATGCTGCTAAACTGCCTGATGAAACTGAAGATTCCTGAGGAGAAACAGGGAGGCCATAAACAGAAGTTGGATAGCCATTAGGAAGCCATGGCTGGCCAGGTATGAATTCAGCAGCATCTGGATTCATAATCTTTGGACTAAAGCCAGTCCCATCAACAGCAATGGGCTCAATATTTGGAATAGTTAGCTTGTTTCTTGCACCTCGATGTCCTGCACGGTTGAAACCACCAGCAAGACGGGGACCATAAGGAATCCTTGTTGTAGCAGATTGATGAGGATGCTTACGAATCGGATTTGATGACAAAATTGGGGGCATAATGACTGGTGGAGGCAGGATTCCTCCATGCTCCTGTATGTTTGGAATTGAAGCTGAACCAAAAACCGGTATAGTAGATGGATTGAAAGGAGGTGCAGAGGCTGAAAGTTTCTTGCTTGTTTCTTTTGTTTGTTGATTTGTTTCCCCTTCCATCGGGGTAGCTTTCTCATTCTCCCCTCCACTGGATAGGTCAGAAGAATCATCTCCTTGCTCCGCAGCATTGTCTGCAGAGGCAGGAACATTTCTATCTGAGTAAGGTGGCTCATACCGAGCAGCCAAAGCTCCCTCATTTTCCTTCTCGGCAGAATCTTTATTAGCTATGGACAACTCTAATTCTTCCAAGACATTGTGACCAGCCTTGCAATTTTCTGTATCATTTCCAATTTCATTGGAGAGTTCAGTTTCAAATGAAGTCATCCTTGAATCACTCGAACCATCAAACTTCATAGACTCCATCATATCAGGACATGTAAATTGTGAATCCTCTACTGTAAATGATTTCATCTTGGCAATATCAATTTCTTCTGGAACCCCTTGCTCGTGAATTTTATTCGATTTAGTTTCGGATGCAGTTGGTGGAGTGGAATCTTTCTCAATTGCAGAGTGAATAATTTTATCTTCTTCAGTTTGCATTCCATTGGGAAGTAATTCCACATTGGTCACCTCCCTGCGTGCTTCACCGTTCTGTTCATTGTGATCCTCATCTCGTGATGATTTTTGTTCTGCAGACTTCATTATGGTTCCTGGAGAAGCTAATGCCACCTCCTTGTATGATAAGTTTTTCCTAGTGGACTGAACATTCGTTGAAATTGTTAATGGAACTGTCTTGGAAGCTATACTGGCGGTTGCAGGTTTGAAACCAAAGCTGGAAGTTTTTACTATCTTATCTGAAAAAGGACTCAGGGCATTAGTGGGACTAGTTTCATTGGGCGAGGTTCTTGGGGAAGGGAAGTTGGAGACTACTTTTCCCCTGTATCTACCAGTTTCTCCATTATTTATGGCATTTGTGTTCAGTCTAGCAAGGCTAGGTCTCCTTGAACTGGAAGGCTTACGGTTTGAGAAATTTCTCCCCTTGGGAACTGCTTCCTGCCATCCTTCTTCACAGGTTTCACCCTGCTCACTATCATCCCGCGGGCTTGATGTTATAGGAGCAATGGAAATATTGAGTTTCTCATCTTTAGATTCCATGGGCTGAGAAAGTGCATTATTCTCTTTATCACTAGAAATCTTCTTCGGTGGATAATCTATTTTTTTCTTTTCCTCCTTTATGTCTTCATCTTCGACTGTTTCCCATTGACTTTGTCCAAGCCTGCCCTTGATCTGTATTGTGAATATAGCGCATAAAAAATGCAGCTCAGATTGAGGGTTTAGCAAAATAGAATAGAATGGGAAAGTAAATACCTTTATCCGTGCTTGTTTCTTCTGAATTTCTCTTAGTTTAAGCTCTTCATCTGGGTTTATATAATCAAGAAGGTCTGAAACACTGTTGAATATTTCAAAGAACCAATAATCACGCACAAAATGTCAGGGATAAGTGGTTTTTGCGAAAGCTTCTATAACATAATACTCCTAGATGTAGAATACTTAAGAAAATGTTAAAAATAATCTATTTTACCTCAAATGACCTTTGCTAGCAATTGAAGCATCAGCCTTTGGAGTACCATTCCGTGCAGCATCCTGCTGTTCTTGTACCTTAGACTCGAAGTACTCAAGCCAAGCTGCAGCATCCTGTAAGGATTCATAAAGAAGTTCCTAGTGCTCTAGTTATTGAGAATAGCAAAGTAGAGAAATCAACAAGAAAGCTGATATTACTTGTGTGCGAAGATCTTCTGCTCCGAGCTTTGTCTGTAGTATTCGAAGGGTTGTCTGCTCATGCTGAACACTTAAAGTGTATGCTTCCATCAAGGACAAAGCAATAGCGATAGCATGATAACTGGCAGCAGTCTGTGCTACATATACATTTGACAAAGAATTAAGGTAATGTTACAAACCGACAATGATGAAAGGATATAAATGGAAGAAACCTGTATGTGATCCGCTCCTAGTAATCTTTGGTTGCACTTGAGGGCTTCATGCAGGTATCTGAGTGCCACATGAACGTTTCCCAGGCCTTCTTCCATCATTGCTACATTAATGTAGGTTGCTGCTGTGTTGGGATGCGAGGGGCCACAGGTGAGGTGCAGAAGATACAAGGCACGGTTGACATACCTAGCAAAATAAAGATTCTGATTACAGATTGTCTATTACTTGGGAAATGGGAACAAGTTGTAACTTGGGCAAATAGTAGATTGTATGCAAACTAAGTCATAGGCAATTAAATTCCACCAATATACAAGATTTTTTATCTGACAACGTAAAAATTTCCTAAGATTTTTTATCTGATCATCAGCTTGTGGTTGATGAGCAATCAAAATTTTAAGTTATATTCCCATTTTCTTCTAAATTTTTTTTCGAAAGTAACTTATGAATTTTACATCACAATCTGATACAACAGTTTTAGGGAAACATTTCAATTTAATCACTTCATTAATTAGAGTTTAGCAATTTAATGATTGGCACTTTCAGGACATGGTGTGAAAATATCGGTTCTTCAATAAATGATCTAGACAAAAATAGAATTATGAATTCTCACTGACTGTGTTAAGACAAAATACATACTAAAGGGTTTATATGGAATTGGTAAAAGAGTATATGACCATGCATTTTGTGTCATACTCAAAAAAATTGAAAAAGGCAATGTAAACAAGTTCTGAATTTTTATACCACATTTTTCACACCTCTAAAAATTAATTAGTAACATTTTATAAAATGCTATATTTTATTTTCATCATTTGGAAGCCTATATAAATTATTGTGTTAAAAAAATCATTTAACCAAAGATATTTAATAATACTATCCATAAGTTTAATTTAACTGTGCGTCCAACCAATCTACTGTTCATTCGAAGGGATTTCCACTTTAAACCGCATGCACGTACTGCTACTTTGCACGAAGAATTTTGATTGGTTAACTCATAAAAGGCTTAACAATACATATTTATATAAATGATGATATATAAATCCTCTTCCCATTCCATTTCCTATTCACGCAACTTTTCAGCCAAATCAAAAATAAAAAACAGAGAGCAACCGAAGGGAGAAGGAACAAATTAAAAAAAAAGGAAAAAAAAAAACTAGGCTTTTGTTGTAGAAATTTGATTTTTTGTTATTTCTTCAGCAAAACGATTTCAAATTTAAGTAGGGGTTATTTAAGGAAAATGTTTTATATTATTTTGACTTAAATTGAGTTATAATTTAGGAAAATTTTGTAAATTGAGAAATTTCATTTCATAGTTTGTTTATAAAAGAACAAGACTTTGATGTGATTGACTGATTGTAAGAGCAAGTTGATCCTGTGGAATACTCAAATTTTATTCAGAAATTCAATTGAAATAATTGAGTATAAATGTATATGTTTGATCGGTACATAAACTAAATGCATGGAGACGTTCTTTATATTAACATATTAAATTTATTAGCCAATTTCAATTTAGTATTTCTTTTTAATGTTCTAAGAAAAGAAAATGATATATGAAACAAGATGTTCAAAAATGAAATGTAATAGAATAAGATTAAAAAAGATCACATATATGAATATGTTGACAATATTATAGTCTGTACAAATAGGACGACAAAAGTGAGCTCATATAGGGTAAAAGGGTCCTCGACATGTAGCTTCTGCGCTTATGATAATGAATAAATTTACTCCCACATATATGATATATTCTAAAGCTGAAAGAAAAAAATTTATATTAAGTAATAAAAGGAATTAGGAAAAGATAAGCCTGTCATAATGAAACTGTATACATGTTTAATGGGGCATTGTCAATGTTTTACTCTGATATTCTGTTAAAAATTTTCTTTCCAATTAGATACTTCTCTTACTATTAAATTATACATTATAAAGGTATTTTCATTTTAAGGATTAAAGGTAACACACTAGACTAGTTCATGAGTATAATTGAATTTTTATGATATTGATTTTTGTACTAGAGTTGTTTATCTTAATGAATTTTTTAACTCGATATTACGCTGAATGTTATTTTAGATAAAGAGATGGACAAAGAAGAACCCAAATAAGGGTCATATTTTGATCGACTCCTCAATCTTTGGGTGTACTGTTTTGCTGTAAAATAAAACTTACTCATGTATATCTGTTATGAAAATTTGATGATATGCAAAAGAATCAAGACAGAAGCTCTGTAGTTAAATAAACAAAAATATATATAGAAATGCTTTTGCTAAAGTGAATTGGGTGAATATTTATAGTCCTTAAGAGTTAAAAAACTTTCATGTATAAAAATTTAGTTGTAAATGTATCTATTAACTTCATGTCGACCTAGAAGGGTTGCGTGCTGCATGACATTTTGTTTCCTACACTTAACGAACTAATAAGTCCAACATTATAAAATAATTCGTGCTACATGTCTTTTATAATTTGGCAAAAAATGTCTATCATCAATCATTGTAGTGATCTATCTCTCCCAAAATATCCAGCAAAGATTAGGATGTTTAAAGCCCATGGCAATTCAAATAAGCACCAAATGATGACTAGATTAAATGTTCAATTAAACTGATCCTTTTAATCTGCATCTAACAGGCATATTTACAAGCATATGTTTAGTCAAAGAAACTATAAGAATATATACTTTCAGGTCTTAGAACAAATATAACAATGGTTTGGCACTTAACATAACAAAATGCCATGATAAATGCGCTTATAATGAACAATCTGGTCCAAGAATTAAAATGAACTAAGACGTATTAGCACAAGCAAAGTTTTCATACTTCATTTGCCACCTTTTTCAATATTAGACATCAAGACGTAATTAACAACATTGAAAGTAAACTCACTTCAAAGCCAATTCTGTATGTTGAAGACGATAATAGAAAACTGCTAGATCTCCATAACTTTTCATTGTATCTGGATGATCAAGACCAAGTTCCCTTTCATTTATATCTAAAGCCTTCTGCTGATAGATCGTTGCCTGCTTGATATGCATATGAGATCAATCAATTACCTGAGACCGTAGAACAAAATGCTATAAATTCCCTTTAAAAACTAGATTATCCTACAAGATTATTGAAGTTCTACTGAGTTCCCCCTATTTTTATACACAATAAATCTTTATCTCAGTTTTTGAAAATTGGTGGCTAGATGGTTGTCAGCTTCAAATGAAAATGAGATCAATTACTTTGAAGCATAGCACACAGTACCGCAACGTTCTGAAGGACTGGTTATACAAGATGATAAAAGATGATTCAGAACAAAAAAACAAATAACCCTACTTTTTTTTACAAAAGATTAAAAATATAAGGAGAAAAAAAACAAAGAATATATAGATGGCCTTCATCAATAGTCATTAATCGTCTACTATTTTTTTACTAATTCCTTCAAATTAGTGACTCAGACTTAGATTAGTTTTGTTTTAATTTTCTATACTCCAAAATGGCAACATATGTGATAAAGAGCAAGGAACAGAAAATTCAATTAAGAAAAAAGGATAATTAGGCTTCCACATTTTTCGAACTGTTCAATATAAGCTAAAATTTATCTTATTTCCTGACTTACTATGTTTCATTTAGAATCATTCCGCAACATTCATACCCATTATTAAAGCATGCTATCACATGCCTTTTAATTTGCACATAAAAAGACTCATCATCATGCACTTGCTAACGGGAAATACTATCTCTAATAGCCACATTTTTGCTGCACTCAGGGAAGAGTTGCTATCGGAACCTATGGTAAACCTCACGGTCTATTTGTATTAAATTAAAAAATGGAATTTACTTGTCAATAGTCATAATTTACAAATGTCATTAAGATTTTCTTCAAATACACACCTGGTTGAAATCTCCAGTATGGTATAGGACTACTGCAAGAAGGCTATATGCTCCAGCTGTCATTCTATGGTAAGGACCACAGACTGCCACTAGTTTGGTAAGAGCCTAAGAGTTTACAGTATGTAGAGCATCAAGAATTAGATACTTAGGGGCAAATTTTCTGTGTGTGACAGCATAACAAAGAGCTCTAGATCAGTTATTTGCACCTTAGTACCATAGTTCACAGCATCCTCCAATTTCCCCTTGTCCAGGGAAGTTTTGGATGATTCCAAAAGAGTCCTTCCATCAGCAGAAGAGCATGTAACATGCTGCCAATAAGAAACGCCTGGAGTCAATCACCGTGATAGCTGTGATTGAAATCTAAATCTGTTAAGTAATAAAAGTTTCTTACTTTGTAAACAGGTACCATGCTGATGATATCTGATTTCTTGAAAGGATCCACCGCATCCATATCATAGTCTCTAGGAACTAGCTCAAGCCCAACCTGAATGACAGAGCTAGTATTACAGACTCACTTTTGAGAAAATGTACACAAATCAAAACTGTATATTTCAAGACAATCATCACCTTGTGGCAAAGACTGCGGAGTAAAGAAAACTTCCTCAAGTCTTTCCAACTTTCCTCCTTCCATCTCCAGCCAAACCTCTTGTAAAGGAAAATTTCTATCCACTTCTGCTTAAGGTGATGATCAGAAGCTATGTTAGGATCCACATCCTCAGATGGTAAGGTACCCAATAGAACATTCAAACATGATGCAATCGATGCCGCCAAATCATCTACATCACTAACTGCTGCAACAACTGCTTGCAGCATATGTTTAAATGCTCGGACTACCATCTCATGCATGCATAGAGATCGAACATGAGAAAGCTTGTCAGCTAACTCAACCTGTAAAGAGTTAAAGGCAAATGAAACTTTGTTATTATGTGCAGTTCAAATTGAAGTATATGCATTAGTTTCACAAAAATCAAGAATTTGAACTGGAATTAATCCATCTCCAGCATTATAAGTTTATCACAACTAGAGGATTTAAATTATACCACACGGCCCAGTGAACGCATCTGCAGGCCCCTTGTATGCATAAAATCCGTTAAAGTCCTCCCATCAACAGGTGAAAGTTCAAGTGAGCCAAAATCAGCTACCTGAGAATAGCATACAATGTTATAGTAGTATGAACTATAAATCAATACATAGAAAACATTAAGTGAAAAGGCGGACAATCCATGCGTACCAATTTTGGCAAGGCAGAATCTTCGTAGTACTTCTGTGCCAGCTCAATTAACTCTTCAGGTGACTGCCAAATAGCATAAAATGGGGCAACATTACTATCATGTATAGTTGCAGAACAAAGTAAATAAAAAGTAAAGTCTCGGTGATTACTACATTTGTTTATATTGGCAACAATGCACACTGCATACTGGAAGACCACACAGTTAATTGTTAGTCGAATTGTGCATTTGAGGATGATAGTTAAATCATTACCAAACACAGCGACATTAGCAGTATCTGCCACTACTAATCCTATTCAAGAGTCTCTCACAAAGTTAAAATTCTGATTTCCAGCTATATAGTGATCAGTGAGATAATTGAAAATTGTGAAACAACAATACTTCATTACATAATGAAGGCAAAATTTAGACTGATTTTTTTAGACATGTCACCCTAATCATCATTAGCCTAGGCCCTTTACCCAACTTCTTAAGCTTAGTTTTATGAATCCTACAGCACTCATTCTTGTAACACGTTAGTTCTCTTCTAAACGTATCAAATCCTAAATCTACTAAATCATTGTTGCTAATATAAATTGGATGGTGTGACTTCGAATCTAGAAGAGAAAAATCTTTCTTTTTTTTTTTAGAAATTTCACAATCCGTGGGACCCAAGCGGGCCTCTCATCATGTAATTCATGTTTTCTAACTATATCAACCATAAGATAATAATCCACCTCTACAATCCTTCAAAACTCATTCTCCCTTTTTTGATTCCCATTAATTCTATTATAATTGTGTTCTTAATTTTAGGACTAATAATTAATATTATTTAGCACCTATAAATATGTATCTTATCTATAGTTTGAGTAAAATAAGATTCAAATTTTCTCCTCTATTATTGGTCTTTTATTTTATTAGTTTGTTTGAGGAGAGGGGGCACAGGTAGGAAAGCTGAATGCGCAGAAGCATATCGAACACAGTTATTGGAAGGAAGCAGAATCAAAACCTTAACATGGAGACCAGTATTAGATTCTTTCAGCCGCAAGAATGCAGCCTCCGGAAGCAATTTCATCAATATCCCTTCCTGCTCTTGCTGAATACAATCATCCAGCATTTGGTGTTTGCTAGCATCAACGAAGCCGTCCTTGGATGGATCAATTATTCCAGCCCTTTCTTCAAGTTTTTTCTTTATTTCTTTCAATTGTTTCCCAAGGCCTTTTATAGTTGGCTCGACTTTAGTGACCTCACTATTTTTAGGCTGGCTTTTCCCTGTATCTTGCTGCAAATGCTGCACCCAGCATTGACCAAGTTCCCACCTGATTGATTTTCTATGTGATTGATCATCTTTTTCCAACTTTGCCAGACTGATTGATAATAACTTTCGTACCAAAGATCTTGAAGACTGTGAACTACCGTTTTCAGAAAACTGAGAACAAAGGGCTCCGTTGCTCAACTGAGCAGATGACTTGTGCAACTGCATTCTCAAGCTGAAAGAAAACCAGGAAAATTTTCATCACCAAATATTTCTCCAATGGTTAAAAATCAGTGAATAAATATTAGGCAGCTTAAGATGACATCATTGTTAAAAATGCTCAATATAGGCATACAAAGCAAACTTGAAAATCTATAAACATAGTGAAAATGCTCACTCTTTTGAATTCTCAAAAGTTACCTATTGACATTTAGAGCATTACTGCCTCCCTCCGGTTGGTCTGCAATAACAAAGTCCTGTTGAGTTCTGGTACCAGGTTCAACTGGAACTTCAACAACAGCAGTATATCCACAATGTCTAACAACAACTACACCTAAAGTAGCAGTGTCCTGCAATGCATATGATAATTCAGTATTCATCAAGTAAATGCAGACAAAGAAATGGTACTGCAGCTGCTTACATGAACGATTACACTCTCATCAGCTGTAATTCCTTTGAGTAAGTTCCTTATGGCAACTTCCTTGGAAGACATTCCGGAGGTCTGACTTCCATCAAATTTTACATCTAATTTAGCACTGGCATCAGCTGCATCTCGTCTAACTGTAATATTCATATCCCCGATTTGTTCCTCATGCAAAATTGCGTCAGGGTCATTTTGCATTTCATTTGAGTGTTTATGACCAAAAACAAGATCCTGAATAGAGCCAACAGCTTTGAGGACTGCAACGTCGGTAAATAGGCTATGCAGGAGAAAGGCCTTCCTATCTCGGATTTGTCTCTCCTCAGCTGTTTTGCAAGGCATGGAAACAAGGATTGAAAATTCCCTTGCCCATTTCCTATGGTCTTGTTTCCCATCTCTTCCTTGACCACCACCACTTCCACCCCAAGTTTCATCCTCTGTAGGAAGAAGAGGAAAAACTGCAGGAGAATCTGCAACAACAGGAGGGACCACCCATGTGTTTGCTCGGAACCCATATGGAAGATTACCAAACTGCAGCAATGAAACGGGTTGAAAGTGACCAAAAAAACTTTTCAGTTCAATTATTTTACTAAAACTATTCAAGTCACGAGAATTTAATTAACATGGCTACATTAGAGAAGAATGGAATGATTATGATTTGCTGGGACAAGAGAAGGTACTTGAGGTTTCTATACTTTATAGCAAGTGTTCTAATATTCTATGTAAAATTTAATTCCAATGAGACTGGTACCCCAAAATCAGTAATTAGGAAGACGTCCAAAATGAAACATGATTTTAGGGCACATCTTAAAAAACTATGATTCTCAAGAGCAGTTTCTTCCACGATCCTTTCAAAAGAGACTCCAGCTTGTGAGTCAGGCTTTTGCTAGGTCATAATATAAAGAGATTCCCAAATTACTCTTCCAGTTCTATCCAGGCAAAGTTTGATACATCGAATATAATGCAACTCCAGCTCAACAGAATGTCTGGATAATACCTGGAAGGATTGGAAGGGGTAGTTCTTAAGGATTAGATCCTTCTGTAGTAGGAGGACAATATCACAAAGGAAATCATCAGTTACAATTACATGCTTTCCTTTTGGAACCAAATCTTAGGTTATTCAAAGATGAATGGATTTTTCCCCTTGCCCAATTCGTCTTGAATGGAATATTGTTGGAAAATGTCATTGATCATACAAATCTAATTAGAAATGTAATGAAGATAATGCGCTTTATAATATAAACTTTCTTTCAAGGGAAGTAAAGGGGCTGGCCATTATCACGAAAAGATTTTATTCTAAACTTCAAATGGAAAGAACTTTCCAACTAAAGGAATGATGGACTTGTATCGAATTATATGTGAAAATTAATATAAGATATGTTGTCATACAACAAAGTGGAACAGCTATTCTAATGGAAAATACTTCTGAGACCAAAATAGTGAAATCATTCCAAGAATATGAATGTTCGACTTGTCATGTTCAGGGAAGGATGGGGGAACATAGTTTCCATACAGATGCTCTAGTCCTTTCAAGTATATAAAAGGAAAGTGAGCTTCAAAAAATTATCAGGATGGACCTCTTTGATCTTAGTATGAGTTACCTGTAAAAGCCCACAATAATAATTTCAATGAAAATTTTCAAGGCCTATCTTTCTAAACAAATTAAAAATTGTAAAAAAGCAATCTTCTAAACATGACTAATCCTTCAATTAGTATATGCAACAGCAGAAATTCACCTTATTGTGCTCCACGAAAGCTTTCATGAGAGACTTGTAAGCCTGCAAGTGCACATAATTCTCCCTGAATCCAAACCGTTCGCAGTAATATTAAATGAAATAAGAGGTTAGAAAATAAATATTTCACTCACTCCATCGAAGGATCTGCTGATCTGCAGCAACAATCCCACTAAAGAATGGCTAGTTAGAGCCCTTTTCCCTGCCGGATAGAAACCATTTCGACAAGCAACTATTGTCACCAGCTTCCCATTGCAAAATCTCACCTATTCATGGTCACATATGCAGGAATCAATAACACACAAAAAAAGTATCTTTTCTTGAGCAACACTCGTCAAATTATCATTTAAAAAAAATTATTTCAGCATGAAACCCACATCGATCTGGAAGAAGTCATCTACTCTCTTATCGTCCACAAATGGCCGCACCGACCTTCTGATGTCTGCAAGCAATTAGAAAACCCCAGTTCCAGAATCCACTTGTTATCTCATTCCACCAAAAGTTCACCTTTTACATGCCTACCCGGTTTCACATATTGAAGCTCGAAAAATAACGATAACAAAAAAAAGTGTAAGAGAGAAACTGGAGAAACTAACATTGGAGCGGCGGTGTGATGTGGGAGAAGGAAAAGAAGCTGTAGAAGTTGCCAAGCTTGGGCGGAGGGTAGATGGGAGCTTCTTCCTTCTTATTCGCTCCAGAAGCACCGACGGCAGGGGCAAGGGATCCGGATTTATCGCTTCCTCGTTGGGTCTTTAGAATGGATTCTGATGTGTCGGCCGGGAGGGCGTCGCGCTCCTTTGATACGCCACCGCTAGACGGTGCACCGGACGTCGGCGAATTTGCGTCGGGGTGCGTAGAGGCTCCAGCATTCTTCGCCGGAGCATGGCTAAAGGCGGTGGTGCAAGCGATGATATCCAAGAGGCGGCGGATATGAGCGACGGCGAGCTCCTCCGTGTACTCCTCTGGTGGAAGTATGGGAATTTGAGGTAAAAAGTAAAAACCATAAGAAGGTTGATTGATCGATGGCGGAAAATGTTGAAATAAATTTTACTATCAATAATATATATATAAATTCTACAGCTATATTATTGACAGAAAATTTTCTCCATGATCGAACTATGCCGATGCCGATGCAGACTAATTAAAACCATTTAATAGAGAAGAGGAACGAACTAATTTACTGAGCAGGATACCTCAATTTGATTTACTTAAGTAGTGCCCAAACAATTACAAAATATTACTTTTATTTCAACTTTTAATCTAATTAAGACAAATTCACACATGTATCACATAAACAAACTTCAAATATGAGACCTCTCAATTACGAACAACCGTCTCTGGCCTCCTCTAAATGCTAGAAGCCAAACTTCCATCTCTTCTCATTCCCACCATTCGTTTTGCACGAAATCTAGAGCACAGCTTTCTATGCTCCTCCATTGACAAGTTGGTCCTCCTCCTAGCCCTCCAGATCACAATAATAAAATAAGTCGAGCAAAAATATGATCACCAAATGAACTCTCATACTTCTTTTTTTAAATGAACTCTCGCACTTGTTCTTCATTTCATTAGATATTTCGTCTACTTCTCCACTGGCTCACTCATGTTCGTTCCGACCCAGAGTTTCTTTTCTACTTATAGGACCTCCCACCTAAACGTATTCCATTGTCCTTACATGATTAGTAAAGGATATATGAATAGAGAGAGCTAACAGCTCTTACATTCGAGTAATTATTGTGTTCGGACATCAAACGCGTCCAGAGACCATAATCACGCGCCACGTCACCTGGAGCTCGGTACTGAGTGAACGAGCGGAGAGGAAGAAGAGGAAACAGAGAACGAAAAAGTAAAGAAAAAGAAAAATCTTTATTATTGCATATCAGACTTGTACAGGGCATGAGTATAAATAGATACAAGGCAGGTAAATAACTAAGCTAATTACAGAAAAACCAGATGACATGTTAGACGTCCTAATTGTGAGAGCCAGTTGTCCATGTTTTCCTTCCACGAACGTCCAGGACGAAGTTGGATCGTCCTGGGACATGCGGTACAGGTTTGTATAGGAATTTCTGTCTAGGAGGTTCGTCCCAGGACGAAGTTGGGTTCATCGAGACGAAATTTGTCCATAGGGCAAGCCGTCCAAGAACGAAAACTGTTCACATCTGAACGAAATTCGTCCAGTGGGCAAATCGTCCCGGGACAACTTTGGATTGTCCAGGACGATCTGCATGCATATATAATGGTTGAGATCTTTTTGAAGAGAGAGAAAGCCTAGGAGAGAGAAAATTGAAGGAAAAAAGGAATAAAAGTGATTTTTGGACGACTTCAGTCCGTTTTCGTCCGTCATTGTAGTTGGAAAAGTTGACCGACTCGAGGTAAGGCACATTCCGCCTTTCTCAATTTTCAGAAACGGTAATTTTGACGACTTTTCTGTCTCGAATTTTATTTCCGTTAGTGAATATTTTGTTTCGTTTCGCATTGATGAACTTTTTACCGCGTAACTTTTGGTATGTTTCTGAGATGATATCTGTGCACGTTTTGAGTATTTTCTGTAAGATTTTCACCGGTTATTTTGAATTCTGCGGTGTTTTAATCGAACTACGAATTATCTGGATGTTGAAAAATGTTGCTTCAGTACAATGAAAGCCTTACAATGCTGCTTTGCATTATCTGTGGTAATTTGGTATATTTCTGAATCTGTGAATTTTGTGTAAATTCCGTATACTGCCGTTATGCCGCTGACGAATTTTCTGACGAAATCTGATTTTCTGAAATGAATGCTTTGATGTGCTGTGATATCAGAAGGGAGTTATAAGGGGTCCTTTGAGATTCTGTCTGTGTTAATAAAATCTGAAAAAAAAAAAACAAGTTATGTTCTGAAAATTCTGTATATCTGTTATGTTCTAGTGCTATAAACACAAAGAGAAGCATAAAGGGCCAGAATCTGTTGAGATTCTGTCTCTATCACGGAATGGAGGCATAAGGGGTCAGAATCCGTTGATATTCTGTTTGGGTCATGGATATCTGATTCTGATGTGTGAAATGTGATTTTATCTGATTTAAAATATGTTCTGTACACTTCTGTTTGTTCTGTATGATTCTGTCTGTTCTGTAAAACTGACTTGATTATTCTGTTATGTATGATGAATTCAATTATTATGTTATGTTCAGTGGTTTGATTTATGTTTGATCAAGTATCTGTTCTGTCTGTTCTACGATTTCTGTACGATTATCTAATTTCTTTACGGCTACTATTCGGATGTATTTTTTGTTGTGAATTTCTGGAGATTTTGATTGGCGATTGTAGTCTTGCTGAGCTGTTAGCTCATCCTTGTTTCTACGTGGTTTTCAGGTTCTGGGAAAGGGAATGAAGTCTTGGACTAGCAATTCTGTGTCTGATCTCATATTAGGTATTTTGTACTTTTGATTTTTGTACAGTCATGACTTTTCTGTTCTGTTCTTTCTATCTGTAGCCATGCACTATATTGTACATGATTATTTTGTTGAAAGGAGAAAATGATAGATGAATTGTTCTGTATAGTTGGATGTTTATAGTAGCTCTGTGTTTTCTGTTCTATATGTCTGAAATTTGGAAGAAAGTCTGAAGCAAATTCCAAAACTAGATCCTGGATTTTCAACATTTGTCGGGGCCCAACGCGAAGGGATTCGTTCCGGTCGGGTTGGGTCGTGACACTAATAGGCCCCCTCAAACTGATCATTCAGTAGCTGAATGGTCAGTTTGTTGCGGAGTTTTTGAAAGTGAGCAATGGGTACTGGTTTGATGAGAATATATGCGATTTGATCGGAAGAGCTGATGTGCTGTAAAGTGAGCGATCTGGCGGTGATATCTTATCTGATGAAATGATAATCAATTTCAATGTGTTTAGTCAGTGCGTGAAAAACTGGATTCTTGGCTAGAGCAATTGTCGAGGTGTTGTCACAGTAAATTATAGTGGGATCTGTTTGGGGAATTTTGAATTCATTTACCAGCCGGCGAAGCCATAATAGATCGGAGGTGGTGGCGGAGAGCGAATGATATTCGGCTTCAGTGGAGGACTTGGCAACTGTTGTTTGCTTCTTTACCGACCAGGAGATCATGGTTTTGCCAAGAAAGGTGCAGAATCTAGATACAGATTTCTGGTCAACTGTATCTGATGCCCAATTGGTATCGGCATAGGTGCGTAGCTGAAGATTTACAGGATCAATGGGTAACCCGAAGTGTAATGTGCCTTTAACGTAGTGAAGAATACGTTTTAGATCTTGATAATGACCAACTGTTGGAGCGTGCATATATTGGCATATTCGATTTGTAGCAAATGCGATGTCCGGACGAGTTATGGATAGGTATTGAAAAGAGCCTGCAAGCTGGCGATACATATGCGGGTCGTGAAAAGCTTGATCTGCCTCATATGTTGTAGGAGATTTCAAGGCGATCGGTGTAGGAGCAGAGCTACAGTCAGCTAGTTCCGAACTTTGTAGTAGTTGAAGAGCATAGTGGCGTTGATGTAGGAAGTAACTCGTGGAACTTTTGAGAATCTGAATGCCGAGAAACAACGATACGTTCCCGAGCTACTTGAGTGCGAAGTGAGATTGCAATTGTTGGAGAAGAAGGTCGAGAGTCTGTTGATCATTGTCTGTAATTAAAATATCATCTAAGTAAGTGAGAAAATAAAGTTGAATGTGATTTCGACTAAAGATAAGGAGAGAGGGGTTAGAACGACTAAACCAGAATCTAAAATTTTGAAGAAAGTCCGTGAGTTTCTGAAACCATTGGCGAGGAGCTTGTTTAAGGCCATAGAGTGATTTGTGTAGTTTGCAGACATGGTGAGGAAATTGAGAATCGATAATAAATCCTAGAGGTTGTCGCATGTATACGGTGTCGTGCAGGTCACCGTGGAGGAATGTGTTCGACATATCTAATTTAAGAACCGGACACTGACGATGTATAGCAAGAGTTAGAAGAATTCTGATGGTGGGCATTTTAGCCACGGGGCTGAAGGTCTCGGTATAGTTGACGCCAAATTTTTGAGTAAATCCTTGAGCGACCAATCGAGCTTTGTGGAGATCCAGTTGGCCGTTAGGTAGAGTTTTTGTTTTGTAAGTCCAGCGGCAGCCAAGAATTGGTGTATTCTCAGGCTTGGGGACGAGAGACCAAGTGCGTTGTTTTTTGTAGTACACGGAATTCATCAGACATAGCGTCACGCCGGTGTTGTGATTTTGAGGCTTGAGAATAAGTGAGTGAGGTAGATGGATCGGAGATGGTGGCACCAAGAAAAAATATTTGTTTGGGCTTGCGGATGTCAGACTTGGCACGGGTCTGCATATGATGGACAGGTTGACTAGGAAGCGGTGGTGATAGAATTACTGGAGGAGAATGTACCGCAGAGATGGAAATATCAGCTTGAGAAGTGCTGGAGGAGAGGTTAGATGTAGCAGAAGATGAATGAGGCACGGTTGTGTTACGAATGGTGTAGGTGGGTGTTAGAAGAAGTGGTGAAATAGAAGATATTGGTGTGGATGATGAAGTGGATTTAGTGCTATAGGGAAAGATGTCTTCTTGAAAAGTGACATGCGTGGAGATTTGAATCTTGTTGGAGATGAGATTTAGACATCGATAGCGTTTGTATTGAGAGGAGTACCCGAGGAATATGCACGGTTGAGAGCGAGGGGATAATTTGTCGGAAACGTAAGGTCGAAGCCAAGGGAAGCATAAGCAACCGAAAAGTGCGAAGGTGGGTATACGCTGGAGGGGTACCGGGAAGCCGGGTGTAGGGAATTTGATAAGAGATGGCTGATGCCAGTAGTCTATTAATGAGATAGTTTGCAGTAGACAGTGCTTCGGCCCATAACATTTTCGGTAGCTGAGAGGCCACAAGAAGGGTACGTGTGAGTTCAAGAAGGTGTTGGTGCTTCCGTTCTGCTAGGCCGTTTTGTTCTGGGGTATGCGGACAACTGAGTTGATGTAAGATGCATTGAGATTGTAGGTAGGATTGAAACTACGTGCTAGTAAACTCACCCCCACCATCGGAGCGAAAACTTTTTAGAGTTTTGTGAAATTGATTTCTTACTAAGGAGCAGAACTGAGTGAATTTTGAGAACGTTTTGCTTTTTGAATGCATGAGGTAGAGCCATGTGAATCGCGTGAAGTCATCGATAAAGATTGCATAGTAGGAGTAGCCGTTTAATGACTGTTCCGGAGCAGGCCCCCACACATCAGAATGAATAAGATCAAATTCATGAGGAGAATTCGTCATACTTTTATTAAATGATAGATTATGACTTTTAGCCATATTACAAGAAGTACAAGACAGTTTGGTATTTAAAGAAGCTAGATTAGGTAAGTGGTGCTGAAGCTGCGAAAGAATATGAATTGGCGGGTGATCGAGACGGGCATGCCAGAGATGAGTAGAAGAGGTTGTGACATTGAGAGCTTGCGGTTGAGTGAGAGATGCGAGCTGCAGTTTGTACAGTCCATCAGATAGACGACCAAGAAGAAGAGGACGGCGGTCCTGAATATCCTCAATAACAAACCCATTAGCATTAAAGCGAATGGAAACTTGATTATCAGAAGTTAGTTTAGCAATTGAGATAAGATTATGTGTGAGGGCTGGAACATGTAAAAGATTGTCTAAATGAAGCTTACGAGCGGAGTCGGGTAACGGAAGGATCCCCTGATCGGAGTTCTGGATTGGCAAGGATGCCCCATTGGCAACAGAAATGGTGTCTTGGCCTTGATAGGCGGAGCCGTGTTGAAATTGGATAAATCATTAGTGAGATGCGTAGAGGCTCCCGAGTCAAGAACCCAGTCACGGGTTGAGGTGTTGGTCTGTTGAGTGAGAAGAGCACGCTGAGAAGATGAAGTGGTTGGGGAGTATTTTAGATTGCACCGATGCCAGTAATTTATGGCAAGGTGACCGAGTTTCCCACAAATCTGGCATATGGGACGATCGGTAGGAACAAAACCAGAGGGCGGTCGACCAGTGATGTTGGACTGGGTGCGAGTGTAGTTGTTTCGGTTCTTGGACTGACGATAAGAACCTTTACCTCGATCAGAGTTGGAGCGATTTGCGTACAGAGCGGTGGAGTCAGAATGAACGAGAGCTGTCCGGTGAGATTTTTGTTGTAAAGTTATTTCTTCGCTGCAAAGAAGAGAATACAAGGTGTCGAGGTCGATTGGAGTGAGAGACGTGCGAATCGCAGTCTTGAATAAATTGTAAGATAAGGGAAGGCTGTTCAAGATATAGAGGAGGATATCATCGGTATCTATGGTAGAACCCGAGGCAACGATGTTGTCTACTATAGTTTTGATTTTCATGAGGTAATCTTGCATAGAAGAGTTTTGCATTTGGATGTTGTGGAGCTCGTTCTTGAGTTGGATGGCTCGAGAACGGTTTGAAGGTTGCAGTCTTCATTCAAGAATGGTCCAGATTTCATGTGCGGTATGAGAGTGGAGAACGTATGTAAGATGACAGAGGAAATGGTAGAATAAAGTGTAGAAATCAGATTACGATCGATCAACTTCCATTTAAAGTGATTGGAGTTGTTTGATTCGGGCGGGCAATGAGAATCACCAGTGAGATGTCCGGCGAAGCCGTTCACCGAGAAATGCTGGAGAAGTTATATTCGCCAGATTGGGTACGTAGTTGTCGGCGGACAAGGGTGTGGGAACCAAGTTCTTGAGATTGGATATCAAGAACTTAAGCGGTGCGGGAATAGTGAAATCGGAAGTGTTACCGGAGGTGGTGAAGGAGGAGGGGGAGGCTGGAAGAGAAGCGTCTGATTCTTGATCAGCCATGGACGGAGCCTTGCTCTGATACCATGAACGAACGGAGAGGAAGAAGAGGAAACAGAGAACGAAAACGTAAAGAAGAAGAAAATTCTCTATTATTGCATATCAAACTTGTACAGGGCATGATATAAATAGATACAAGGCAGGTAAGGAACTAAGCTAATTACAGAAAAATCAGATGACATGTTAGACGTCCTAATACCGAGCACTCGGTATTGCTCGGTTTACATCCAGATTTTTGATTTCTTGTCCGGACATAATAATTTTTCCTTACATTCACACCTTTTCTCATCACCAATGCAACTAAAATTCTATTTATGCAAACCAAGCGTTTATGCATCCATGACTACTTCAACAGCACAGTCAAAGATTGTACATTCTCTGCATATAGCTACAGTGTCATTGGGGGTTAGAGGAGTTTAAACTTCTTTCCCTCTATTTGCTTCTTCTTCTATTATCCTCAATGCAAATGATGATCGATAATACAAATTTTATTTTTGAATGATAAAAGTTATCATTTTTATGATATACCAAATTAAAGAAAACGACTCTATAAAATGGTAATTAATTGCATGAAAGTTTTATTAAATATTAAAAAATAATCAATTTAAAATTTAATATTTGAAATTAAATTAATGATTAAAGTGACAAACTTTCATGTCAAATGTAGAATATTTAACATTAAATACAATATTAATTTAAACATTTTAATTGTTAAATTAGAAGATCGATTGCTTTCAATTTATTTTTTATATTAATTAAGTTTAGAAAAGGTTAATACATATTTTTAATATGACAAGTAATTAAAATAGATTGGATATATTAAATAAATTTAATTAAAAATTTTTGTTAGGACATCCTAATAAAAAAATAGTAAATTAAAAATAGATGTTGTAAAATATATGATAGAATAATAAAGTTTTTATGATATTTATTTATAATATAATAATAATAATAATAAACATATGATAAAATTAACACATGATAAGTTTTTAAGCCCGTTTAAATAAATAAAAAATATAAAATAAATATGAGAGCCCATTTAAAAAATGAAGCTTTCTCGGCTTTAAGTTATAAATTTTATCTTTTTTATTTAAATAATTCTGCATAAAAATAAAAAAGAGAGGAATTGAGCTTTATTCAATTAAAAAATAATAATCTTAATTTTCTTAAAATTATTTAAAATAATAACTATAAAACTTAAAAATCTAAGCAACAACCGCGCGATCCACGGGAGTTCATTTAATGAACGGTCAAGATCCGAATTGAATTACCTTCGACGATGGTGAGGTGGCACGGTTTCAGCAAGGGGATCTCGACCGTGTCCTTGAGCCGCGGGCCCCGCACCTAGTTAGAATCACCTTCCGTCATCCCAACGGCATGACTTTCATAGTTAATTTTCTCAGGGAGGGAGTTGGTGGTCATCTTACCTCGTGAGCGAGGGAGTAGCAAGTCACATGGCAAGCGTCCACGTGTACGGCCAGAAGCTTTCGCACATCGAGAATTCTGTCCGTAGATATCCCCTTCAAAGAAACATCCAACAACCAGCATCGATTAGCTATTGTGCTACTATAAATAATATTTAAGAAAAAAGATAATCAAATTGAAGAGTTTAAAAATAATTAAAATTTAATTGAAGATGAATGAAATATATCAAATTTTAATTTATACTATTATAAATAATATTAAAATACAATTATCAAGATATTATGATTAAAATTAAAATAACTAAATTTATTTTAAAATGATTATAATATATAACTAATTATACTTACCTAAAAATAAATCTAAAATTTGGCCATAATATCTTCCTTTTATGTCGTCACCTTCATACCTTCCAAATTTTTTTTAAAAAAAAATCTTGATGTTTTGACATTAATAACAGACAGAGAAAAAGAGAAAAAACTTATAACCTTGAAATTGTTATTTCATCAATATTTTATGCAAATTCAGTGTGCTTAATAATAAACCATACTACCTTAGTCGTATTCTCGTTTAAAATTAGCATTTATGACGAGAAAAAGGAACATTTTTTTTCCAATATTCAACCAGAATAATTCTAAAAATCATTATATTAACTTGGAGGAAAAAAAAAAAAAAGAGCATTCCGTAATCAATTAAATAAAATTTATATTACGCAATTCTGATCGAGTTTAAATGAGAACATTCAAACTTTATCTTCCCTTCCATAATACTAATAGTCTGAGGCTATCACTGACCCAAATTTCATCATCGCTATCGCTATCGCTACTGAGTTTTATAGGTGGAGGCAGGTGCAGAGAAATCTGCTAGTCGGTGGAAAAAGAGGGAGGGAAACGGAGGCGAGAGGTACCTTGAGCGTCAGGTGAGAGAAGTCTGGCGCCTGGACGGTAATGTCGACGATGGTGGGGAGAACTGCGAATTGGGTGCGCAGAAATTAAGGAAAACAAATGAGAGAAGATATGCGGAACTAAAACAGAGAGCAATAATAGGCGCCGATAAAAGAAAAACCTTTTTCTTCTTTCTTCTTCTTCTCGCCCTTAGCCTTATGGGGCTTGGCCTTCCCAGCTTTGGGCGCCATGAAAAATTGCTTCTTTTACCTTCCTGCTTGGTGGTCAGCAAATACGTAGATGGGAATGGCAATGGGAAGAAGAGAGAACTGAGAAGTTCACATATGGGGATTGGAAGAGGGAGGAGAGGGCAGATGATAAGAGAAGAGGATAGAAGATAAGGTTTTATGGGGTCTTCTGCGTTTTAGGTGTTTAGAATTCAGAGGGGGCGTGTGGGGGGGGAGTGGAGAAGAGAGAGAAAGAGGAACAAAATGAGAAGATAAATTTAGGCCTCTCATTTTATGGCTTTGAGATTTCGGCCTATCACTAATATCCCTTTGGGGGAAAAAAATAATGCATTAGGTACTTTAGTTCAAAAATGTATTATTAGATTTAGGAGGATGGGATATTTGGTTGAATTATAAAATTTTTATTTAGAAATTAAGTATCAGAATTTTCAACTCAAAATTCTTATTTATCTTGCGATAATATTTGATTATTTCTCTTTTTTTTTTATTAAATATCGTACTGTTTTAAATAAATATATCAAATGTAGTTAATTGTTTGATAATTAAAAATTGCGGATGAGTTTGGTGAACGAGTTTAGGGCATCTCCAATGGATCTGCAAACGATTGTTTGCCGTGCTTGACATCGCTCCAGTGGAGCGCTATTTTCTACGGCAAACGGTCGCCGATGAACAGTGCGACGCCATATTTGGCGTCGCACTGTTCACCCGCCATTTGCCTTTTTTTTAATTTGAAATTAAGTTTAAAATAATAAATTAGAATTTTTTGTTTTAAATTTTTTGTTCACCCGCCACTTAATTATTAATTTTAAAATTAAAAATTAGAATTTTTTTATTAATTAAAATAATAAATTAGAAATATCTTATTTTTAGTAATCTAAATTTTTTTTTACAAAATTAATTAATGTAAGTTAACATTAAGATAAAATTCTCATACATAAAAGATTTAAAAATTATGACATATTTATATTCCAAATTATTTTATAGAGCAAAAAATATTTATTTTAATTATATTAGATTTAATTCAAAAATTCGATAAATAATATTAATGATTAAGGAATATTCTTTTTTTGGTGTTAGAAAATGGAGTTCGGTTGTAGACAAATTACTGCATTTTGATGTATTACTGCATTTTGGAGTGAAAAATGAGTTTTTCGGTTGGAGATGCCCTTAATAACTCAATACTAAGAGTTGAGAGTAATGGTTCATTTTTATGCAATTACATTATTTGTTGCCCTATAAAGCATGAGGCTTTCAAGTGACTTAGGGTATCTTTGGAATAACTTTTTTGTTGCTTTGCTTTTTTAAACAACTACTATAATTTCATTTAACTACTACTTTCTTGTTGATTTTTCATTGCTTTTCAAAAATTTTTGTTTTGAAAATCTAGTTTTTAAACAACCAGAGTATTTAAGTTGTTTTGTCCATAGAAAGTTCACAACCAACTTTATAAAAAGCTATACCCGTCCCAAATAAATGCTTCAAGATTAACAAGCTTCAATTCAAGGCTGATTTAAGTCCGACCATAATTAGTTAGTTGCATGTTGAATCATGCTCAAGTTCTCTCAATCATTTTGTTGAATTCTAGAAAGACAAGAGGATTCTTTTATGATCTTTCAATTGGAAATAGATTGTGATGTGGGAACATTTTAGTCTATCTTATGCTTAGGGACTAGTTTATCTCCTTTAGTCTAGAGTCTTCTATTTGCTCCCTTAAATAGGTATAATGTATGGTTTTTGAGGCATTGAATGATATAAACTCTTTTGAAGCTTTGAGAAAGCTCTATTCTTATTCCCTGGATTGGGAAACTCCTTGAAATCCTTCTTGCAGGTTTGATCTTCCGACGATCCACTACATTAGTTGGTATCAGAGCCTAGAGCTTGTGAAGATCGATGTATTGCAGAAGGTCGGCTGTCGACGACGATCGAAGCCGCAAAACAAGATTGACGTTCGACGACGTTCGACGTCAAGAAAGGTGGGCTGTCGACGATGCTCGAAGCCGGATCGCCTTTTACCAAGCTCAGTCGAAGGAATCGCTCGATCGGGTAGACATAAACCTTGATCTGATTCGCGAAAACCTTCGAGCAATAAGGAAGATGAGGAAGACGTCGGCAACCATACCGAGGTACTCTCCTTCTTCTTCTTCGATCTCATCATTCGCTTCACGCAGACACCGTCCGTCCCGCCACGATTATCCCCCGCTCGAGCTTCCGCTCCGGTGGCGCGAACCTCCTCCGCTCAAGCCTACCAAACCCCGTTCAGCTCCGTTCGTACGCCCAATGTCCAGTGGGGAAGTTGATTCCGACTTCATTGCCGATCCTTTCCACCATGTAGAACATGTTCAGCAGCTCGTCGGGACACGACAAGTATCAG